ATACCAGTCGAGAGAATGTTAAATTTCGCGAGCCGTAAGGCGAGGGAAATTCATTTTCAAGAATCTGATCGTGACATAAAACGCATTGATGATCGTGACATTACAAGCGTCCAGTCGGATAGAGTATTTTTTGGCAAATACCACGGCAGAGAGGGTAAAAAAGGCATATCCTTTTTGCATATACCCCGGCGCTGTTTAAAAATGAACGATATTCATTTGATAAAAGTAAATTGGTGAAAAATACACTGGCTATCAACCAATCAAAACCCAGGATTCTTACATAAGGTGTAATTATATATTAAAACATAACAAACATAGGCACCATCATGTTTTTTTTTCTGTAGAAAACTAATTGTAATGATTGGGTAAAGCATTTTCTGATAAAAGTTACATGTGTATATAGAAAAAACTTTATTTTCCGAATCATAAAAATACATTCATACAAGTTTTGAAGTTTTTTAGTATACAGTGTGTCTTGAATGGAGAGTTGTCTCATTGGCAATTATGCCATATACTTTTGTGTTTATAATAACCAGAAACAAATCAGAAGATTAAGTTTTTATGGGTTGAATTTTCCTCATTTTTAGCCCACAACCAAGTAACAGAGGGTGTTTTCATGATCGCAATTAAACATCTCAGTAAATACAATGTAGGTAGTGCTATGCTAGACAAATACAATGTACATGTAGTATAATAAATGAAAATCTATGCAATATAAACAATAACTTATCTTGGATTTTTTTTTTTATCTTACCTGCTATACGTTTCTAGGAATATGATTGGTTAAAAGCGTCCGCGTGGAGACCGTGTATATTCCATATTAGGTTAGTAGGGAGGCGGGGCTTATTTCAATACACGGTTAGTAGTGGAGTTACGACGTTAATATTGTTATACCCCTGGGTTGTTCATATTAAATTGTTATTGTTGACATTATTTTTTTTTGTGCAGACCAATGGCAGAAGTTCTTAAAATTGATCACTTGAACACTTTATTATAAAAATAAGAAGATGTGGTATGATTGCAAAAGAGACAACTCTAGTCTAAATTCAATAAATAAAGATAGTCGGTAAGATAAATTCGTTACATAGTGTGCTAGTGACCTAATACGATATAAACGGGGTCAGTAAATTCCATATGGGGTTCGAGCTCGCTCTCACCCCATATGGAATTTACTGACCCCGTATATATCGTATTAGGTCACTAGCACACTATGTAACGAATTTATCTTACCCCATATGGAATTTACTGACCCCGTATATATCGTATTAGGCCACTAGCACACTATGTAACTAATAATCTTGCTGCAAAATACACATAAATGTTTAATTTGTTTGAAATTCGCACTTTACAGGTACATATGTTTTCTTTTCGCCCGTTTTCTATTTTTTAATTTCTGCACTTTAAGTTTAGTATTTCAAAGTTTGATTAGATATCTAAACTATCAACAGTGGCGGATCATGAAATTTTCATAAGGGGCCCACTGACTGCCATAAGAGGGGGCCCGCTCAAGTCATGCTTCAGTGGTCCCTAAACAATCAACCAAATTTTTCCCACAAAAGGGAATCCGCCTCTGATCAATATCAAATTTTAAAACGAATTTTAGAATTTTAGAATTTTAATTATTTGGTGAAATTTTCAAAACTTCAAAAAAAAATTAAAAATTTGGAATGTTAATTATTTAAAACTTTGAACAAAAAACAAAAAAAAAACTAAAATTTGAAAACTTTTTAGAATTTTTAATTGCTAAGTGTTACACGGACCGAATTTAAATATGGTTCTATTTTATTATTTTGTTTTAAAGTTTTATATAAAAGAAGTTTACTACTGAAATCCATTTTTACAAATTTTTGTTTATTCAGTTTAGTTAAAGAGTTTTCCTTTTATTTCAGTTTTTACAGTTTTTATTTGGTTTGTACTTTTACATTCCTCAATATGCTTAAAATCAACATGTAAAATTGAGAATGGAAACGGGGAATGTGTCAAAGAAACAACAACCCGACCAAAGAGCAGAAAACATGTGCTTCCTTTGCAATACTTTTTACATAAGTAAACCATGTGTAACGTCCTGATGAGTCAAGATTCTTTGATAGTATGAATGCCTCATGTAATAAGAGATTCAAAATTTCTTTATGGGATACATTTGACCTCTGGGCGGTCCTATATAAAGATATATATGTATCCGTAAAAGTAACAGCAGAATTGTAGGTAGAAACTGATTCCACCATAGTGTTAAACAAACTACATGCTACTTTAGGCAGCATTTGATTTTCTGGGGATGGGGCTATGGATTTTTTTCTGAGACAAACTTTGTTTTACACTGAGCCAACTTAACTTGTAATTTTTTCCAGGGCCAATCAAAAACAAATAATTTTTTTCACCATCTATTGAAAACAATTTTTTTTGTCATCTCACTACTGCATAGCATCTTTCACATAGACAGCATGGCTCTTGGTGTAGGTTGGGGGAGAGATTGGTTTCTGCTGTTTTTTAAGTCTTTACCTCAGTTATACAATCCAAGCCATTACATATGGAAATGGTGGACATTTCACCAGCTCCATCAGAATCCAAAACACTTGGTACATGTATGATGGGCTCCAGGAATATCACACGACAGAAAATGGACTTAAAAAACAGCAGAACTTAAATTTCTTATTAAATTAAATTAATGGTCATTTGAAAAAAATCCGATTGCAAATTTATAAATGTTATATATATGAATATTGCATAATAAACAAGTCATTTGGATTAATTTTGGAATACTTTTAGTGCTGTCATCGGTAAATAAATAACAACGGTGATTTTCTAAGCTTTTAACATTATCAGGGACAGATTTAAGCGGAGTCATACCGGACAGGTGCCCACTTAAACTGATAAAGTTGTAGTTGCAAGTATAACACAGAAGAAAAAAAGAACAGAAAAAATATTAACATCATTAAATCCTGAAATATCAGTGGATTCCGTTGGTCTTTGATCCCATGTGCCTTTCCATCATGCTCCAATACCTTGCAGACTGTGGAAGCAACTATAAACTAGCTTGAAAATTTTGAATATGTTCTTTGTTGCAGTTTTAGTTATTTTGTTTTTGTTTGCTTTCCATGCTTTAAATTGAGTTGAGTGAGACATCTAGTCAAGATGAATATCTTTTGTTATCAAAATTAAATGTTTGATTGATAGTTTGCTATGTACATGTATATTTTGTACACCCCTAGTCAGGTATGGCTTAAATGTATATTTTGTACACCCCTAGTCACTGGCAGGTATGGCTTTTGTATATTTTGTACACCCCTAGTCAGGTATGGCTTTTGTATATTTTGTACACCCCTAGTCAGGTTTGACTTTTGTATATTTTGTACACCCCTAGTCAGGTATGTCTTTTGTATATTTTGTACGCCCCTTGTCAGGTATGGCTTTTGTATATTTTGTTCACCCCTAGTCAGGTATGGCTTTTGTATATTTTGTACACCCCTAGTCAGGTTTGGCTTTTGTATATTTTGTACACCTCTAGTCAGGTATGGCTTTTGTATATTTTGTACACCCCTAGTCAGGTATGGCTTTTGTATATTTTGTACACCCCTAGTCAGGTATGGCTTTTGTATATTTTGTACACCCCTAGTCAGGTATGGCTTTTGTATATTTTGTACACCCCTAGTAAGGTATGGCTTTTCAATTCAATTTCATTTTATTAACTTGTAAGGACAGTCATGTAAATATTCGGTGAACCAGTATTTAATTCTGTTTAAAGAATAGGGACCGTCTTCAGCTTACCCTCTGGTATGAAGGTGCCATGGCCGTTGATGTTTGATGTAAGAACCCTTTGGTGATATTTTATCCTCATTGGATTGTGTTCTCTTTGACTTGATATTCACCATTTTTTTTTTATTTCATCGGTCATTTATAATTTTGCCTTAGTGTCGCTGAATAATGAATAGTTTTTAAGTTGAACTTCAAACTAACTACATACATGCAACTTCACATTGAGTATGGTCGAACTCCTAGGTAGATGACTATTGGGTTGCTCAGTGATATTAGATATCATATTATAAATCATAGAAATTTTATACTGATAGTGATACTATATACATTTGATTCAACTATATATGCTATTAAATGATTTAATAATAGAAATAAACGGGTCTCTAAAAACACCGCAAAGGACCTCCTTTGTGCACAAAGGAGGTCCTTTGCGGTGTTTTTAGAGATCGGAAATAAACCTTATGTTCCCCCGTCACTATACACCTTTTTGCTATTTGGAATTCTGTCCCGGCTGACCTGAGAATTTGTCCCGCTTGAACCGTTGACGTCATACAACAATCACTTTTCCATTGTTGCGTCAGATATTTTGTATTATGACGTCAAAATTTTATGGGAACCTTTGTGATGTCCAGTAATGGCTGACAAATTAGCAATGAGGTGTATTCAGTCAGAGTTCTTTCTTCTCTTTCAGTTGGTAAAAATACACGATGTCCAATTTTTTTCATGTTTTAAATTAAGCAACAATTTATTTTTTTTGTCATTTTTTTAAAACAAATTTTTTTTTTTCTCTTCAGTGATGAGTCAAATTATTTTTATCCACATTTTTCAGAAACAAACCATGTTTTCCTCAGCGAAAAAAGATTGTAGATCTAAAATACAAGAAGCATAAGTTATCAGAATAAATTAGTTGTTGCACCTTTTCATTACATTTTGTAACATATGACTGGTGCTGTTGCAGTTATATTATTAAGTTATAAAGTTTGATTTATTGGAAATTGGAATATCTGCAGATTTTTTTTTGTATTCCAGAAAATCCGAACGAGGCTTGGGGTCAAAGGTCAGACAAAAAAATGAAAACTAATGTTTAATTGTATTTCTATCATAGGGTACATTTAAATAGTATATATGCTTTATGTGTATATTTTTCAAAGAAATAACATGATAAAACCCTACAGATACCCCATTTCAAATCGATCCCTGTGACGTCAGGGAAACAACCTTTTGCACAACGCTTAGCATGACGTCACTTTGGATACAAGAAGAAAGCACTTGTACACAAGACAATCACACACTCCAGGTGTCTTTAAAGTAAGTTTTGTAAGACTGCTCGCTATATAGTCAATTCAAATACAAATCAAATGCTTACATTTTTTTTTATATATCACATTCGGTCATAATTTTGTCTTCGTTTTTTTGTTTTCTTCTAGTGTGAACATGTATACTTTTTCCTCTTTATAGAGAACGTATAGGCCTAATTTTTCTCTTTTTGTTAGTCATTTTAGTGAGGGAGACGACTTTTTGATATTGGGGGGTCACGAGAAGTTTTTGCGGATCATTTTCATCTGTTGCTACTCTGACATACGCTTATTTTTTGCAATTGTTTCGGAACTTTCCTGCATTTTTGTAGCAGAATATTAATTTCCATCCGTCTAATGCTAGGTTATCTATTTTCAGCTCATACCAGGCCAGCATATTCATATTAAAAATCTTCCTGTCTATTCCCCCTCCGAGAAAATCAAATGGTCGTCCCCTTAAGGTGCATGAATCAAACAAACGATTGTACTGTACGTATAATTTCACAAAAAAACATGTGAACTGTTCAAAAAAGAGGCGAGGGATACCGAAGGGACATCCAAACTCGTAAGTCGAAAATAAACTGACAACGCCATGGCTAAAAAAGAAAAAGACAACAGACAAACAACAGCTTACTTAACATAGAAAACCAAAGAATGAGCAACACGAACCCCACCAAAAACTGGGGGTGATCTCATGTGCTCCGGAAGGGTAAGCAGATCATGCTCCACATGTGGTATCATCGTGTTGCTCACGAGTCATGTTATCTTCATTTTCGCTAGGTGATATTTTTGGACTATTTGCGGACCAAAGTCTATATAAAAAGATATCATAAGGACATATGAACTGCGGTTCCGCAGCTACATTTTCAGGCTTAATTATGATATACAGACTATATGCGAAGCACCCCTCGAGAGCTGCGGGGGTCCGGGGGTACAGTGATATCCGTGAACTCCCTATAAGGATTGATGGAGATGTATCACTAACTTATATACAAGTTTACAACCCACCACTACGGACAATCCCCACCCCAAAGGCAGTGTTTGGACACCGGGAAGTCTGTTATTATGGTGGAGGAAGCCGAAATAATCGGAGTACTGCAGCTCACAACATTAGACAAATATCATTAGTCAATATTGGGATTTTCAAATAGTTTTAAGTTTAGAGTTTGAGTCAAAATTAGGATAATGGGTTTTAATTGAATTTATAAAATGATTTCTAATATTATTACTGATTTGAATTTTGGCAATGAAGAAAAAAATGTTCCTCGTCAATTAAAATTTTAAAAACTTTACCAACCCAGTAGAAAAATAAAAAGATGAGACCACATAATGTAGAATTTTACAACTATAGTATAGGTCACTGTACGGCCTTCAACAATGAGCAAAGTCCATACCGCATAGCAAGCTATAAAAGGCTCCAAAATGAAAAATGTAACAAAATTTCAAACGAGAAAACTAACGGCCAAGGCCTGATTTAATCTGTGTTAAAAACAATAAAAGAAAAACGTCTTATATTTGTTTTTCGTTCATTTTTTGTCCATAAATTAGGCCGTTAGTTTTCTCGTTTGAATTGTTTTACATTGTCATTTCGGGGCCTTTTATAGCTGACTGTGCGGTATGGGCTTTGCTCACTGTTGAAGGCCGTACGGTGACCTATACAGACCTTCTAAAATTCAAACTGACCACACGCACGATACACGCACGCACGATACACGCACGGTGAATGCACGATACACGCACGGTGAATGCACGATACACGATACACGCACGATGAGCGATGAGCGTTACACGGAGGATTAACGAAAAATGAATGATGAATGATGAACGCACGATACACGCACGATGCACGATGAATGATGAACACACGATACACGCACGATACACGCACGGTGAATGATTCATTGACGAATGAACGATAAGCGCTTAATACACGGTTCTCAAAGCCATTTTATTTGGAATTGCATTTAAGATTGATGTATGATAATGAAAATCTATAAGGGTATTCAAATTTTAGATATATCGCTTTCTGTGTTGATTGGTCGACAGTTTTACTAAACACTCCATGTATTAAATAAATTAATTGTAGTATAGTATTTCCAATATCAATGAGTGTTATCAAATTATAAAACTCATCGATTTTATAATTCTACTTAATATAAATAATTTATAAATTGCTACGTTTTAAAGAGTGGCGATTCCAGCCATTTTTAAAAAAGAGGGTTCTCAACCCAGGATAAAAGGGGTGGTTTTAACCATATGTCCCCATTCAAATGCATTGACCCCCGCCCCCCTTCTTTTTATATGCCTAAATTTGTAACCTTAACTAATTAATTATCATATGTTTACGTTCCGAAATTTAGGAAATATTTGTATGTTTCGAAGTTTAGTATGATGTCCATTATCACTGAACTAAAATTCATTTTTGTTTAGGGACCAGCTGAAAAACGCCTTCGGTGCGGGATTTTCTATCCATTGGTGGCCTTCGACTGTTTTCTCCCTGTACGTCTAAACACTGCTAAGGACTTATAATATGCCACTAAGGACTAGAAAGGACGTGTTACTTGTACTCTGTTTTCATACTATGGTAGAGATAGATAGATTTTTATTACATAAATTCCAATTTTTAAAGAAAAAGAATCACCATTAAATGAGTAGTTGAACAATATTTGGAACGTGCCGGTTTTTCCTTGATATTGCCGAAAATCAGTGATCCGACTGACACGAGCGAACTTACATAACAACTGATTAAACAATCATAATCTCTTTTTTTTTACTTAAGTTACAATGTTCCTTATATTATCAGAATCGTATGAGTTAATTTAGAGCAAAATATATAATTTGTCAGAAAAATCTGATTCATAAAATTAATTAGAAATAGCTAAGAAAATGAAATTTACCAAATAATGAGAAAATTTAAACATTTGTTATACCAAATACTTCATAATATACTTTTGAAACGACTTTTTGTCCTGAATATGCATGAAATTTTTGCCACTGGACGTTTAAACAACCACTGAATAATCAATCAATCAAATTTTGCTCTCAGTAAAAATGAATTAAACAATATAAACCACAATTGTATCCATCACTTGGTGTCTGTTGTTTGTTTGTACAGTAAACATACTGAATCTTTTTATATTCCTTATACAATTTCAAGTATGTAATAAAATTCATACATATTTTCAAACATCCTGGCACTTCAAATTTCTAGGAGGTGAGATTCTCGGGGTTTTACCTGAAACTCTTTGGGAAATGCAATTTTTAATTCCAATTCCAATTCCAAACTGTAAAAGATATCCCAAGGTTTTTTAAAATGCATTTCTAATTTGATAAGGAAATTTGAAGAAAAAAACGATCTCAATGGTAGTTGAAATTATTCAGTGCAATCATTTTGTGTCCGTCGTTGTCTTTCATACATATCAATTGGTGTATCCACTGTTTGCTGTTCGTTATCTGTTGTTTATGGCAGTCAGGCCTCGCGATCGGTCTCCAAATTTAAGCCCCCACTTAGGTAAATTAATGATCATTTATAGGGGGGGGGGGGGGGGCTTTTTTCTCGGGACAAACATTATTTTCCTTCCTTAAAAACAACTTAACAATTTTCTATATTTTTCATTTAATCATAAACCGATGAATATTAAATGATTTTTAAAAAATTAAAAAAATATTTTTATTCTAATATATCTAAATGTCTGGGTTATTTTCTTATCCAAATAATTATTTTTCATTTTTTTTAAAGGAAAAAGTGTTATCAGTTATGGCCCCCTCATTTTAGACATGACATTTTGCTTGATACTGTATGAAGATTATTCGTTGCAACTTTTAGGAAGAAATTACCTACTTTTTTTTAACTAGATGAATATACAACAAAAATACCGTTTTTTCTTCTTATATCAATTTCTTTTCACAAAAATTAAATATTAACAAAGAATTGTTACACAAATGTAGAGCCCAATTTTATAACGAAGATATTCCCAATCTCTTTACCGAAATCCGCATATCTTTATCTTTTGAAACAAAAAAGTTAAAGATGTCTGTTCAAAGGACAAAAATGTCCAAGAAACCGAAATGTTATAAGTAAAATTTTTTAATGTCGAATAATTCAAACCCATTTGTCTTTTAAATTTAGCACAAGAAGATATAATTTTTATTACATATACAAATTGATTTTGTAAAAATTAGCTTGTATATATGTGAACTTTTGTAAAAAAAAATCACTGTGGTTCTAAAACTGTATCACATGCCCATAATTGTCCTAAAGCTAAACGTCATCGTCAGATTATGAGGGTCTGAATAGGGATTCATTATTTCTGTATTCTATCATTTTAGGCAATTTTTTCTAATCGTTATACCTTTTGTCGATCATTTTTTATTCCATATATTCTAGTACCTCATCATTTTCTTTTCTATAAATTTGTCTGATTATTTTTTGTATTCTTTATTTTTTGGTCAATAATTTTCTATTCTATAAACCCCCATCCACACCCTCATGTATAATGGAAGACGATAAACATTTTAGTATACATACCACCCGTTGTCACTTTCACCTGACATACAAACCACAAATTGTTATTTTTACCTGGACACGGGACTTATATAATTACGTAATAATAACGGATATAGTAAATTCAGTAGAATATAACCTGTATCAACGCACTGGCTTGTTAAATGAATATTGCTCTGGCAACTGTTTATCATATTTTATGTTATTTTAAAATTGAGAATGGGAATGATGAATATGTCAAAGAGACAACAACCCGAAAAGAGCAGATGACAGCCGAAGGCCACCATATTTGATAAGGTTTTAGTTTCTAATGAGACAGTAACCATCGTATTTTCAGAAAATCTCTAAACGGATAATAAGAGTTTAGCGACCTTGACTGGCTATACAGCCCAAGCACGGTCGGTCTCTAAAAGTTGCCGAATTTAAGAGCCTATATCAAGAGATAGGCTTTACCTAGCTTTAGGTGTTTAAAAAATATCCATTTAAGAACCAAATGTGGCTTCTTTATATTTATACCAAAATTGAGTTCAAGGCAGTATTTTGTCGAAGAGAACAATTACACAAAGTGCAACATGCGAGAAGAGGTTTCATTTCCCTTATTTATTTTTTATTGAAGTGAGTAATCTTTTGAGATTACTTCACGGAAATATATTTTAAATGAAAAGGTACAACTGGATGCATCCCTAAAAAACAAATTTAAATATATATATATTACCTGAAGATCTGTAAAAGCAGTGAAAGCGCTAGTAAAAGTGATGAATTGAAACCGTTATTATCTTTTATTATTTTTCTTATATGTTACCAGCTTACGAATTCTACTTAACTTTTACTTTAAAGTAAGTTACCTGACATCTAGAATAAGAGGTTTAAGCATACTCCGCGCTGGTCAACCTTCTGAGTTGTGGGTAAAATTCAATATACATGTAGGACTGTGAAACGGGAAATATACGAAAGATTTGTTTTTACGTACGATGAAGTGTCATTCCCTCAATACATACGGGTCCACCGTGAAACTATTCTTATGATTATATAACGGTAAATGATGATCTCATTAGAGGAACAAATTAAGTAAAGATACATGTTGAAGCAAGAATAATTTCCACATGCAAAACATCAAATAGGACGATCTCTAAATTAGTACGCGGCAACTTTAACTATTACATTCATAGACAATAACACTAGTAAATGCTTTATATACTGACATTGAAACAAATATACTGCTCATAATAATTGCACATCTGTAGACTTTAATCTAGGTATCCCGCGTTATATAAACCATCGCAAACCATCGAACAGCTCATCGCACTTCGGCGCAGACCAGCGCACTTCACGCGTGGCCATCAAACTTTATGATCTCCATTGCACCTCCGAGTCATACACACATATATATTCCGATTTTCTAATAATGGTTTTTATTATTTTAATTCCCGTAGGTATTGCCCAAAGAAATAGGGTTTATTTAAGGGTTTACACATCTTCATAGCTAAAATATTTTAATACTTATATCACGAACAGATATCTATGACAAACATTTCTTAAATTGTCAGTATATAAATTTAGATTTTTTTTTAAGAAACGTAGGTTTCAGCTACAGCAGACTAAATTGGCTTTTGATGGATTGAAGGCTTATGTAAAAATAAGAAAATGTGGTATAATTGCTAGTGAGTCAACTATTCAAGAAAGTTCAAATCAAGAGGAATGCTAGCAGTTATATCTATACGACCTTCAATAATGAAAAATTACGGGAACTGTAAAGTCGGTTATTAAAGGCCCCGCCCCGACATGAAAAAAATATGAAACAATTCAATTGAGCAAACTAACGGCCTTCTTTATTTCAAAGCTACATGTATCTTGCCACAAAAAAAAGCCCAAATACATGTATATAACAGAATTGATGTTACGAAAACCACTGAACTACGTGCTTTTGACTTTGGACAAACACATAAATACACAGAATATTGTGAATGTGTATAGGCCCTTTATTGGTCATATAGCTCTACACTCCTATCTATTTTATACATTCTTTGGCTTTAAAATATTTAGCATTAGGCGTTCCTAGTGAAAGTAAATCCAGAAAAGCGTTATAGATGCATGAAATTTATAAAGTGTTGTTTTGTGAGCGGATCAAAACGTAGGGATCGATGTTAATGCCTGTTTTATATGTGCAATAATATCGGCCTTCTAACTTTAGTGAAACTCTGCAGTTGTTCAGTGACGGATCCAGGGGGAGGGTTCAGGGGGTTGGAACCCCCCTTTTTTTGGACGATCAATGCATTTGAATGGGGACATATAGTTGGAACCCCCCCCCCCCCCCCCCCCCCCCTTTTTGCCCTGGGTTGGAACTCCCCTTTTTAAAATGGCTGGATCCGCCCCTGTTGTTTCATGTATTTGATATGCAAATTATCACAAAACTAAAAGGATAAGATGGATGAATTAATAGTTGATCGTTTAACGTCCAGTGGCATATATTATAGATTCATTATTAGGGGGAGTACAATAATTATGATATAGTGATGAACATTGGCAATCATACCACAACTTTCTTTTTTATAAGAACGTACATGTGTAGATTTTCGTCCTTTACTGTAAACGACAGTGTCCCTGGGAGTCAAAGCCGAAATCAAACTTGTGCAAATTTCTGAAACATACATTTCATTATTTAACCCAATGTAAAGCAAAACAAATGATACCGTTTTGAGCTATAAAACCAAGGCAACCCTTTATACTAGTCAAAAGTTGCTGGATCGTGATAGATGCATACGAAACTTCAAGTAATTGTTTGTATTTTTCAATCTTTTATATCCGAGAAAGATGAACACAAAATCTATCGGATAAAAACTACCGATTTTTCTATAAGATAAAATTTATCCTTATTGGAGTCAAATTTGTCATATGGATTCATAAAGGACAAAAAAATGTCCTCAGTAACGGAACAAAAAATACCCCCATGGTAAAATAATCCGTCATTCTTTAATACAAAGTACTATTGTGAATTATATTTTCGGATATTAATCTTTTAGACATACATTAAAAACGGTGTCCTTGATATGCAACCATGAACACAATGAAAAGTGAATCTGTGAAAGTGTTCCATGTTTATTCCATTTAAATAAAGACTTGTTATGATAATACAATATATTTAACTATTTTATCAAAAAATTTGAATAAAAAAGAATATCTTAAACTCGTAAACACAATTTCAAGTTTAAAAAGTTCCTCAATTTAAAATCCCTCTTAAGGAATACGGGATATATTTGCGTGATCTTATACTTGTTTAATTAAAAAAATGCCTTCAAATACATATGTTTATTTGTATTCAATTTTCCACAAAACATATTTAGTTTATTTTAAATGAAAATAAAGAACAGAGAATAAAAACACTGTTGAAGAGAAAATACATATTCGTGTTAAATTCGCCTCAGTTTAATTTGTTAATTCAAGTTTGACATCTAAAATCTTAATCCGCAATCCACATTTACCCGACAATCTTGTATATTGTATTTTCTCAATGGAATAACCTTACCTGCACGTGACCATCAGAAACGAAGACAAAAATTATATTTGTAATGGTATTTATCAAAACTTAAATGTTTAAATATTTAGTAGATTATATGAATTTGCCAAATAAGCGAAGAATTATAATCTTGCATTGTTCAACATTGGAAAAATGACTCAAGTTGAACATTAATCATGTTAATACTGATTCAATATTTTATTAGTCTCACCACATACAAACATAAAATGAGAATCACAGAAATAAACATAAAACATTAAAACATTTGCATTGTATGTACCAATCTTAAAAAGAATAATGAGAGACTTTTAAGACACAATATATTTACTCATTTACATTTAAAATTTAGTGTCCACCTGTACTATATGAAAATAAAACATTTTTTCTTTGAGAACTAGGAAATAAAATGCCGTTTCTTTTCAATGAAATATTGTTGATGTTTTTGGCAACTATAGCAGCAACATTGCCGTTATTAAATAAAAATATAAATGTTTCGCTATCTGATAATTAAAGGTTAAAATGTTCATTAAAATGTTTAGCTTAATGTATCATAATTTGTCTTAAATCTACATATAATGGGCATTTTAAAATGACATGAAGTTCATCTTCAATAGTAGAGCTACAACACATGTCATCTCGTGGACTTCTTTTCTTTCATACTTTCCAGTTTCTATTTTTAGTGGAGCTACCCCACATCTAAATTTTGCAAAAGCACTGTTGTTTTTAATTGGCGGAATATTTTTTAACAAATAACAGTTGGCCAACAGTATATTTTTAAGCCCATTTCGCTCAGTTGAATAGAAATTCCAATTTTAACTGTTCTGTCGTAGAAATGTCATCATGTTATTGTTTGTACGTAGAACATGTATCATTATATTAAAATGTGTCAGTCCCAGCCAAGATTCACTGAATAACCACGAAATGTTTACAGATGATAAATAAATTTTACACAAAAATTCATGAATCTGTATGAACGTTATGTACGATGAAGTTAATTAAGTGTTCACAAGAAAGTAAGTATGAATATAAATTTTATTTATAGTCGGAACAAATATATACACTTTAACCGTGAGATAAAATATAAGCTTTGATGAGCTCTATAACCGACTATCATATAAAAACCGCAATGAATGAACGTTACCAGATTAGAGATGAACGTTTGACAAATGCACATTATCTGATGTACACAGTTATACACGATTGACGAACGCACGATACACGGTTAAGAATGAATGATTAATGAACGCACGATACACGCACGATACACGCACCATACACGATTAAGAATACACGATGCACGCACGTTACACGGAAAATACACGGAACGATGAATGATGAGCGCACGATTGGTACACGCACGATACACGCACGCAACACGCACGATACACGATGAACGCACGGAATAATGGTCAGTTTGAATTTTAGAAGGTCTGTAGTTGTTAATTTCTGTGTCATTTGGTCTCTTGTGGAGAGTTGTCTCATTTTTTTATATAGTAGCTGCAATTATTTAGACCACAAACGGATTGAAGTGCCACCCGCTTTTCCCGTCGAGGAAATACAAACACGCTCAAAATACTGTAACGCTGTCACACATACTCCATGAAACGTGAATTTTATGTACAAATATACAACTTGTACAAATCATTTTAATTTTTTAAAGTACATCCCTTATCTTGCAGCGATAGAACAAGACTCACGATGCTGACGTTTGTGGCACTTTTTGTCGTATTTGGATCTGGAGGTTAGTATTAATATAATACTGTGCACTGTTTTAGTTTTAAGGATGTTCGCTACTTTTTTCTTTAACTGTTAATAGACTGTTATAATTTGAAAGTATAAAAACAACAGATTTTAAAAAGCAGACAAAAATGAAAGTGTCCTTGTTTTTGAGATATATATATATATAAGCCATTGAAAATTTGGCGGGAAATGAATCTCTAGATTTTTCATACATTTAACATTTTTGTATTTTTTTTTATTTTCTAAAACTGAAAAATGACAAGGAGTTTATAATATTTTGAAATATACCTTTTAAAAAATATAAGTTTTAAAACTATTTAAAAAAGTATTGGTTAGCGCGCAATTTTTTTAATGGCACAACATGGATAAAACCAGAGGATTCAGAATATCTGACAAAATGTTAAAAACAAAACTGGGAACATCCTTACATGTACCATCAATACTATCAGAGGCTGAGCTATTAAAAGGGAGCCTTTACTAGATCGATTTTATTGAACTTTAACATTATTAATTTATGTAGGATTATTTTAAAATACACTAAAGTCAATTTAAAGAGAAAACCAACAGCCTAAATTTATAACAAAACATTTTACGAAAAATAAATATGACAGACATGATCTAACGACAACCACTGAAAACCAGACTCCTGAATGTGTAGATTTTAAAACTAGGTGATAGAATAGAGCTAATCATGCGAGATCCTCATGGATAATCAAGGTCGCTAAACATCCCGGCTTGGAGTAGATTTTGGTAGTATTTCTGCAGAGTTTATTTATGTAAATTGGATACATTGTCAATTGGGTTTTATATAAAAAAAAATCAGTCTTTAAAATGCTATCAAAATGTAAGAATCTTAACTCATTTTACCTCTCATTACACCACATATTAATTTGCAGTTACAAGACTTAGTGTAACATTACTTTCTTAACCCCCTACATTTTACTATATTCAGTCATATAAATCTTGGATTGAGACTTGAGAAGAAAAATGTTACTTCAAAATTGCATTCACTATTTGTGAATGATACACAAAAGCACAATACAAGAACACAAATTTCGCTATCCCTTTGAAATTGGAATTTGATAAAGAAGAAATAACATGTTCTATATTTATCATATATATGTGTAGTTTCAGTTTCAACTATTGTTCTAAATTTAGATTTTATTTTCCCAAAAATTTGCGGACTGAATAGAAGACACCTGTTTATTTTCTGCACCTTGTGGATAAAGTTGAACACTGAGAGTTGAATGACATAGACTAGTTTTTAGTTATTCCGAGATAAAAGTTAGAGTGCTTAATGCTTAGTTTCTGTGTAATGTTTTGTGGACTGAATCTGATGGCATTTTTTGTATGTTAATTGTCTTTGCTCTTTGGCTTGTAAATGTTGCACTAGTGGTCGAATTATCCCCCCTTTTTATTTATATATAAATCATGTCCTATTATTTCAATTGCATAAAAAAGAACACGTCAACGTTTTTTTTAGTTAAAAACACAAGTTCAATTGTGGGGTCATTTCTGCTTTGATTTTAATCAATTTGGTACAAATAGAAGCAGAATTGTCACTTGTTTATTTGTTTATTTGGTTATAATTTAGTTGATAGGCGTTTTTACTTTCTTTTGATATAAATGCAAGTTGTATTGTTTACCCTCTCCTGCGTGTCTAATTTAAAACAAAAACAGTGGCAATAGAGTCACATGAGCTAGTCAGGCTAACTAGCAATAGGATACTCATATTTCTGATTGGAGTCATTCAAATAATTTCTTTGAAGTTTTGAGACAGCATAGGCATACATGTTTGGATTCGTAATAGACCGCACGAAGTCATTTCTCTTTCATGTGTACATTTTTCCTTTCTTAGAGAAAGGGAGATAACTCGCGTAACTAACGACGGACGTTTTTTATCCCGAATTCCGGTAGAGGCGAGCAATTACGTGTACCTCGCCTTAATTAGTGATGATAATGATAGTGATCACGGTTTTTCATTCGTATTTTAGAATTCAAATTATATTTTTTGAAAAATGAGCTTCCACAATAGAGGGGTTTAGCCATAGAAGTTAAGAATATATCTCTGGTATAGCAGGGCTGCCAAGTCTCACGCATTGTCATGCTTATTTGGCGGCATTTTTCTTTGATCTATTGTTTTTTCTCTTTGATCTTTACGATTTTGGCCAAATCTCACGCATTTGCATTATTAAAAGTTGGCAGAACTGGTATAGAATGGGGATCTCAATCCCTTTGGTGGAATTCAACAATTTATTACATGAGGTAGAATGGGCATTAAACCCTGGGCTGATATGCATAAAACCACTTAAGGTAAGATATACCGGTATAATACTAATACTAATTTATCGTAGGACATGTAGAAAAATCCGTCCGTTCGGAACAAATCTTAACTAAAGTAGCTTTATGCATACGGGCCCTGGGCTATACCCTTAGGCGCAATGCTTATGTCTTGACATAGAAATCAAGTATTATAGTTTATTGTTTTATTGTCTCCATTTGTCGAATGGGGGTTTAAAGATTAAACGAATAACTAAAACACTCGACCACCTTGACTGAAACCGAAAGCTGAATTTTTTAGTAAAGTCTAGGTGGCCGAGTGGTCTAGAGCATTGGACACAGTGCAGGCGGTGTTGTCACGATATCCCAATAGCATGAGTTCGAATTCCGGCGAGGGAAGAACAAAAATTTGCTTCCGCAAATTTGCAGATTTAACATTGTTGTGCTGATATTTAGAGTAATTATATATATATGTAGGACTCTAAAGTGCGATGATACTCTAAAGTGCGAGGGTCATGCTAAAGTGCGATGGTATACGCTAAAGTGCGATGGAGGCAAACGCTAAACTGCAATGGTATGACATGCTAAAGAGCGATGGTATAACACGCTAAAGTGCAATAGTAAAGCACGCTAAAATGCGATGGTGTAACAGGAATGGGGTTCAGGCAATGGTTTTCGTTTGTTGCTGTGTTCCTATTATTGTAGTTTTTCGTTTATTATTATATAGATATAGGAAGATGTGGTATGTTTGTCAATCAAGCCGTTGTCTTTCTCTTTTGATTTGTTTTACACTAGTCATTGTGTTGCCCTATGTATATATAGACTGCTAATCTATGCGGTATAGGCTAAAGGCTGTAGTTATTAGTTGCATATATCAACGACATTTGGTCTTGGGTGGATATATGTCTCATTTTTTTATTTAAAGTACGATAGTTGTCAAAAAAGTGTAATGTTTACATTGCAGTTGCTAGTGTTTACTTTATGAACCTGTCTCAAGCCAAACACATGTAATTCAGTGGTAGCGTTTGTTGTTGTATTTCATATTTGTTTTCCGTTTATTGTTTTGTTTATAAATCAGGTTTGACACTGGTCGTTTTGTGGCCCTTTGATCTTTTCAGAATAGTATGCGGTGTTAGCCAATGCTCCGCATTAAAGGCCATGCGGTAACCTATAGTTGCTTACGTTAATGACATTTGGTCTATTTGGTCGTTATGTTACTGTCTAGTTGACGTATATTCATATCTTTAAAAGTAATAACGAACCATGTTGTTAAAAAATGTTTTATAGAATGATTGCATTAGAAAGTAAAAAAGAAGACTTTTTTTCATGCAAGTTCATTACATCTGATTACAAACATAGAAGGAGCTGCTAAATTAAATGTGGACGAATTTAATTCCTCAACATCCAAGTGAGCCATCTCCAAAATCTCCTTTTCCTCTTAAGTTAATTTATATTTTGTAACCTTAACACAAATAGTAGAAATACTAAAATTATTTCAGCATAAAGGATCAAATGATCATGCGTATGATTGTCCTGTATATGCATGTGATATTTATCACTGTACGTTCAACAAGCAAAAATAAGTTTATATTATTTTATTAATTAATTTTACCGAACAACTGGAAAATATGGTTTTCAAAGTCTTTCATACACAGCGTCGCTTTTAAAGTAATCTGCTTTTTCATTTTTGTTGATTTCCATTGTTGTCGTTAAAACGCACTTTAGCGTATTGAGGCATCGGACTTTATCGTGTTCCATTTAATAGCACATACCATCATACTTTAGCAATAGCGACTGCGTGTCAAACAATCGCACTTTAGCGTAGACCATCGCACTTTAGCGTGACCATCGCGTTTTAGCGTCCCCATCGCACTTTAGAATCCTACATATATAAACAAGTCTTTATTATCATCCAAGTCAAAATTTATAAAATTTATAAAAGTAAACCATTATAGGTCACAGTACGGTCTTCAACACGGAGTTTAAAAGCTTATTAACAATAGAACGTGATTAAAACGTTCAGTTGATTTTTTCAGAGTTATCTCCCTGTAGTGTTATGTACCACCTTATTTCAGTCGCGGGTGTGTTCTAGTTGTGTATATAAAAACGAGCTATTTTGACATACTTCAATTTCGAAGGGGGTCTCCGTTGTCGAGTGGTCTAAATAGTCGAACTACTTTATCACTAGCCAGTCAACACTGAGTTCTGAGTTCGAATCCTGTACGGGGTAGGTGCACTCGACTCCAATCTTTATTAACTAGGATTGTTAGTTTTCCTACCGAAGGTCGGTGGTTCTCTCCGGGCACTCCGGCTTCCGCCGCCAATATAAACTGACCGCCACGATAACATAATAGTGTTGAAAGAGGCGTTAAACACCAATCAATCGATCAATTTCGATGATTATAAAACACAATTTAAAAACATAGGTGCTATATAAACGAGTAATACTTAGAACTTAATACAGAAATTGAAACAAAATGTGATGTCAAAAATCGAAAAACGAAAACACTTCCGTTATTCATTTTTTGTTTTAAGATATCAAAAATGAAAAACGAAATCACTTGTTTTTCGAATTGGTTTTTGAGAAATAAAAAATGAAAAACGAAAATACACTTTAAAACGAAACAAATAGACGCAAATATACACGGACCGTTATGCATGGTATACAGAGTTTACTTTAAGCTGCTCCACTTATTGGCACATGTGCAATGCTTTAAGTGTTCAGTATATAACTAATCTGGTGACAACTTGATTATAATATATTCACAATATCCAAATCTATACTAATATAAAAATAAGATGTTGTATGATTGTCAATGAGACAACTATCCACAAGAGACCAAATGACACAGAAATTAACAACTATAAGTCAGCGTACGGCCTTCAACAATGAGCAAAGCCCATACCGTATAGTCAGCTATAAAAGACCCCGAAATGACAAATGTAACACAATTCAAACGAGAAAACTAAAGGCCTATTTGCCCTAATTTATGTACAAAATAATGAACGAAAAACAAATATATATGTTACACAGCAACAAATATGGTCTAATAAGAGATTCTTTTTTTCAATAAAATGAATATTTTTAAAACAAAAAAATCAAAGCTGTACTTCTTTTCATTAAAATGACATTCACTTGCAGTTTAAAAGTATAATAAAATTATTGTGTATTTCAATAATCAGTAAAAACATATTTTAAAGAAAATTCTCTTTAAACAAGGAATTATTTGAATCTGGAATAATTTTGAATTCTGGAAAATTGATGAGAAATATATGATGAAAACTAACCCAACTAAATAGGGTTAGCCATGCGTGCATGGCTAAGGTGGGTTAGTTAGTTCATACTGAAATGATAGTGAAAGTAAAATTAATCTTAGCCATGCACGCATGGCTAACCCTATTTAGTTGGGTTAGTTTTCATCATACATTTCTAATCAATTTTCCAGAATTCAAAATTATTCCAGATTCAAATAATTCCTTGTTTTTAAGGGAAAACAACTCCATATAAGAAATAAAGACCATAACATTTTTCCGAGATTCATTCCTCTAGATCTTTCATCACCTTTTGTAAAGTTATATTTTATGTTATTTATATGCAAAAGCTTCTAAATCTTTTAAAATATGTTGATGTACAACTACCCATCTGCCGTCCAACCCTCCAATATTTATTTCTGGAATAGCTCTCATTTAATTCAGCCTATCAACCACCAGGAATCGATAAAGAGGACAATAAGCAAGGGTTGGACTCTGGATAAATTTGTTGAGCAGCGGAACAAGTTGAAGACACTTTCTTACAGATGCAGGACATAGAATTAGGAAATCACAGCGTGCGTTCAGCAAATAGAATACAGAGCAACAGGTCGTACAACAGAGCACATGAATTTTAGGATGTTCGCTCCTCTTGTTTTTTGAATTTTCGTCAGATATTCGGAATCCTCTGGTTTTCGTGCAGTGCCATTAAAATGTTTTGCCTCTAACCCTTACTTTTCTTTTAAATTTTATTACATATAGTCTTAAAAGCCAAATTTGAAAATCTTCTACAATCCTTGTTATTTTTTTTTATAGTTTTTGAATGAAAAAAAGTGCCAATATTAAAAATATGAAAAATCTAGAGAGAATCATTTCCCGCCAATTTTTCAATGGCTTATATCTCGAAAACAAGGACACGAACCCTTCCTTTTTTTCTGCTTTTATAGTTACGTTATTAATTAATATTCTATCAATTTATAACTGTCTTTTAAAAAGCTTGTTATTTTGAAACAGAGTAGCGAACATCCTGAAACATGATAGGTTTCAACAAAGTGAAGGAAATATAATTTAATTTTGATGTAACACGTCTTCTGATTGGCTGAAAGTGTTTTGTCAATCAGCTCATAGACATAATTTTGTCATGTGACCGTGACGTCACCAGCGTTTTTTTCAAAATTTACTCCTTAAAAATGGAATTCAGAATTGAATTATAAGGAATGACTGTAATATTTTTTATGTCTATGAAGAAAGGACATCAAAAATGTGTGCACACTGAATAACCCGAGTAGCGAGTTATTTAAAAGTGTGCACCACATTTTTTAGGTTATTTCGAACATAACAGATCTGTCAACTATAGAAACAGAAGAAATTTGAAGAAAACAACAGAAGATACAAATGAAACGGATTCAAATCTAGACAAATCAGATATGAAGAAGATAAGCCAAATTTTGGAGAAACTACCAAGCACATTAATGAAAATAGGCAAAGTGAAGACCATACGTGGAATAACAGATATTGGAAAAAAAAAACAGTGACGGTAAGAATTGATGATGTGGATGTGAAGGTGGAACCAAATTTTGGAGCAGATATGAACGTGATTGATGAAAATGAAGGGTCCGTGCCCTTGTTTTCGAGATATAAGCCATTGAAAAATTGGCGGGAAATGATTCTCTCTAGATTTTTCATACATTTAACTATGGTACTTGCCACCTTTTTTCTTTCAAAAACTATTGAAGATTTTATTACATTTTCAAATTTTCAGAAAATACCATACGGAAATCCAGTGTTAGAAAGACGCAAAATCACTACCATTAAAGGGAGAATCTACAACTTACTGTATTAAGAAATGAGACATGTGGCACCGAGACAACATTTATTGTTGTTCAGGAAGAAATCAATTCTCCACCATTGATTAGCAAATCAATCCTTATTGAGCTAGGATTGTTACAGATGGGTCAATATCCCTAATGCGACTCAAAGTGAGGAACACAAAAGAATTGCGTTAACAAAACATCTCTGCAGTGATATTGGACATGTTTCAATTTTTAACAAGTGACTAAGCCAAACCATTTGCGCTGATTTGGAGAGCAGAGGACCATAGAATAAAGGTGTAAAAACTATTGAGTTATTAAATGCATGCAAAGAACTAAATTTTCGGAGAACTTATTGTGTGAAAAAATGGACTTTTTTCCTCGAGAAGCCGCGTCACGAAAGGATTTTCGGGGTGTGCTAATTTACGGAAAAATGAATCTCCCTTCGTACCCCGAAAATGTAACCACACATGTGAAAATGTCTCAGCTTCGAAACGAGTCATCATACATATCCAAGTTTACGATATAGGCAGAGGAACTGATGAGGAAATGGCTACCATTACCGCCTACCTGAAATGAATTGCGCATATTTACTCAGATCAGAGCTGATGGTTCTTGTGCTAAATCAAATCAGTTAAGGATACCAGACACAGAAAAGATGAAACGATAGTAACAGATCAGGGCAGAGTAAAAATGAAACTCACCAACAAAACAGAAAATAATGAAAATCTACAAAGGAAAGAGAGTGCAACAGCTTAACAGGAGCTGATTACGGGTAACACCACACCAAACTACAATAATATCACCGTAAAAAGCTCTAATTCACCGACCCATTAGGACAAAATTAGAGTTTATACAGAGAAAGACTGACAAGAATGAACATTTGTAGTATGATATAAATGAAAGATACAGACGATATATGAAGAAAATCCCCCCCCCCCCTAAATGTTTAGGTGCGCGTCTGTCTCTTTTTGGTCTATATTCTGGTTCTTCTGATTGATTATTCTGACTTTTGTTATTTCTCTTAACCTCTATAAGTTGATTGTAATGATGTCTTTTTATCCGCCCCCTCCCACGAATGTCTTGTGGGGACTCATTTGTTTTGTCCTCCGCCCCTTCATGGAACGAAATACATGGTTATTGCATATACTTTCTACAAGTCCCACTCTTTACGTTGTCATGTTGGTGGGATCCCCCTTTTTCAAAATCTTGGATCTGCATCTGTTCATCATGTTATAAAAATAGGCAAGTCATCTGGAATTCCATTTCTTCTTTGTAATCTTTCAAACATTTTAGTTTCAGCTCTAGGATGTGAGAAATTATGGGTACAATTTGAAAACCATTGCTATTATTCAAATCAAATGCCATTTTCTCAGCGGAAAAGATTCGAAAAAAATAGAACAAATAGTGCAGGCATGGTTGAAGAGATCCAGTTACAATGGGCACCAGCCCAGGTAAGTAAAATGTAGAACTGTAGCAGAACTAGGTTAAACCACATCTTTTTACCGGCTATCGTGCAATCCTGTACGCGGGTGTGGATGTGGTCCTTCATTTCTGTATTATTTAATTTTTTAGCCTGTTTTTCTGTATTCTCAATATCTTTGGCCCCTTATCCTCTATTCTTAACATTTTAGCACCTCATTATTATCAATTCTTATTTTTCCCCTATTTTTCTCTATAATTTTATATTATTTTGACCCTTTATTCTGCACTTTTTGCCCATTATTCTATATTCTATAAACCCCATTCAGACCCTCGTATATAACAGGTAACACTATATAAATAACACATAGCCGAGAGAATGATAGAGCAGATTGTTACCACGAAGAAACATTGTCAAGCGAGGCGAATTTATTATACTGAATGTTCTGTCATTATTGTCTTTTAAATTTTAAATTGAAATTAATTCGCTATGACGACATGTACATAACAAGGTTACAGATATTAGAAAAACAACAAAAGTGAAGCAAGATGTATTTTTATTTTGGCAGTCTATGAAAAAGTTCTGAGGCCAAAACGTAGAACATGAGCATTATTTTTAAAATTATTGATGTAAATTCAATTCATTGTCTTTTAAATATCAATTTTTGATTCGACTGCACGAGAGGGCGATATTAAAAAAATTGTCTCCCGCTGAACCATTGGATAGAATGAATTATCTCCCTCGTATTAGCCAATCAAAATCTGGCATTTTAAGGTGAAGTATAATGAAAATCATTACCAGGCAGCTGTACGTACATTTATTGTTGGAAACGCAGACAAAAATCTACTTGTCACGATCGCAGTTTTCACGCTTAACCACAGGACCACCAGCAAAAATTTGCTTTTTAAATGCCCTTATATATAATGTAGCATGTATTCAAATCAATTAAAGAATCATCCAATGTATAAAAGATTCAAGATTTAATACAATTATTCAAAATTTAAATTAATATGAGCCAGTGCCTGAAAAAAAGAGATTTTCAAATGAAGGTGGCTTTACATAAAAATGTAATTTTTTTCTACCAATTTAAAATTTTTAAGGTTTTTGGTTTAAATAATTATTTCAAATATATTCAATGTACCTTGAACATTGGAAAAAAAGTTACAAATATCATACCACATGAGTATAAAATGGTCTTGGTCATGTATGATATAAAATTATTTTTTGGTCAATATAGGCCATAACACCTATTTACACATAAAAATGAATACAGAACTGAGAAGCTATAGGAAATAGATTTTTTTTACTGTTTGCTCATTTCTATAATGTCTATGCTAAGATGTCATGATACAAGAAGTACAATTTATGCTGGTGCAGTGTTTTTTTTTTCAATTTTTAGTATAAAACTTATGTAATTTTAGTCCCAATAGGCATATAATACATGTACATTGTATTTGATCAAATTACTATCCTACCAAAGAAAATAAAGGTAGTATATTAAATGACACAGGTACACTTATCAACATAATTTACTGTCTGAAAACTTTATAAATCTCAAAAACACTATTTTTAGCATAAAAAAACATGTGTGCACTTAAAATTCTTGTACGAGAGAGGGGGGAGTGACAGGTATTTGCATAACATGATTTGCAGAACAGAATAAAAAAAAAAAAACTTGCGCACTGCGAAAAGTCATAAGGTTATAAGGTTATATCAATGGAATAAGCCTGTAAAGTTGGCCTGCTGCTAATAAAACCATGCTTTTCAACACTTTTTACTTTCTGGATCAGTTATGTATGGGAACTTAAATATCACCATAAATGAATTCTTTTGTCACCAGTATACTGCATGTTGTTATTTATATCTAAAGTAGATACCAAGATTGGATTTATTATGCCTGCCACAAATGTGGATGGATATAGATATAGCCTTGTCCGTCCATAAGTATGTACATCCCTATCCAGTTAAATTTTGCATTTAGCCCCATTTTTCAGAAACTTATGGTAATATATCAATGATATTTATTCACCACATATATATTGTATGCTAGTAGTATAACACATTACTTGAGTCACTATGACCTACATTTCATGCTTTAGTGTCTTTGGTTAAGTCTTGCGTTTAGGTTCATTCCACAGAAATCTATAGTGATATATCACCACTACAGTATTCTTTTATAGTACAACACAGCTCATCAACAATTTGATTACTGTGACCTACATTTAATGACAGGACATCCTGTGTCTTATAGAAACATTTTCTAGTTAATACAAATCTAACACACTATTCAACCTGAATTTGTTATGTACATAAAACGGATAAATTGACAGATATGAAAAAAGATTAAATGGCTGGTGTATCATGTTCAACTATCTCATGTATTAATTTTTATACATAAACAAGTACTCCTATTAAATGAAAGAAGAATGTGTCTGTCAAACTTAGATATAAATGGCTCCTCTAATAATTCATTATACAACAAACATAGGAGCTGTCCTGTGTGTTATATTTGTCAGCTACATGTAAATGTCTAAAATTTCAAATATATATAAAAAGATGGGATTTTATTGCCAATGAGACGCGGCATGATTGCCACTGAGAAAACTTTCCACCAGAGACTAAAAGACATAAAAGTTAACAACTATAGGTCACCCTGTGGCCTTCAATAATGAGCCAACTCTATACCGCATAGCAAGCTATAAAACGAAATGACAAATGTAAAGCAATTCAAAAAAGAAAACTAACAGCTTGATAAAAAAATAAAAGTATGACAACAACAAATGACAACCACTGAATTACATGCTCCTGACTTGAGACAACCACATACTACATAGTTATCTAAACCTATAACTTTTTCACAAAAACCAAGAAAGTGTAACATATTTCATGAAGTTTGCAGAGAATCATAATTCCAAATGCCATTAGGCACCTATTTTTGTTGTTGATGGAATTGATGTTTGAGGTTTCCCATATCAGACTTGGAAGAATAGAGGGGAAATTAATTTTGTGTATCTATCTAATCGTCTAGTAGACGAGTACCAGAGACGCATTTAGGGGTGCCCAGGGTGCCCGGGCCCCCCTTTTTTAAAAAAAATTTGGTTGATTATATAGGGGATCAATGAAGCATGACTGGATCGGGCCCCCTCTTAGGCAGTCAGTGGGCCCCCCACTGAGTACATCTTGTTAATTTGTATGTCCTATTGACATTAGATCTAATAAGAAGCAGTTTTCTCAGTAGGTTATAATCTATATAAGTTTGGTACTTTTCCTTCTAAATATTTGGTATAAATTATCTAGATTGTTCCCTACAATCCAAGTTTGACTATTTTAACAACGGTGACTTTGACAATTGAATTATATAATCATTCAGTTCCTCTTTCCACTTCTTGTTTTACATAACGTATTAAAGTATATCTGTAAACTTTGATTTATTAATCAAATGATCTTATAGAAAACACTTCAAAATTTATGAATTAACATTAATTTATGAGTGCCATGACCTTGACCTTTGACCTTACGATTTGACAATGTGACATAAAATTCAATGTGGTTCTGCATATCACTACGGGGTATGGTAAACCAAAATGAGGTTTTCATTTCATATAATTTTGCCTAAAAACGGAAGGAAAAGTTGAATTTTATCAAAAATAGCTATTTTGTTTTTTTGCTTTTTCTGAACTTCACTTATAATTCTCTAATAATAAAAAGTTTAATGGAAATCTGTAATTTAGTTCTCTTAATTATTAGGATGAAGGTAATGCAGGTGATATTTTCTTTATTAGTCTTTTCCTGCCAAAAATGGATAATTGGATTAAGAATGTGAAATATCTTTCTTAAACTAACTATGACCTATATATTCTTTTTAGCTGAACATGCAAAACTATACTTGTGTTTGTTGTAAAACAAATTTAAACAAAATCTTATATAAATTGTATCCGTTATTAAAATCTAAGTATGTCAACAGACAACACACAATTTTCCCTATCATTCTTTGGAAAACAGCAACAAAACCCTCCTTATTTTGGTGGCCTATAAAACGCTTAAATGAACGGTGACCCCATAATTTTATTTCATCATTTCGATCCACTCACTTAAAGGGATAAAATATCAAGTTTTCAGGAATTTCTTATATAAAGTGTTTGCCTCCTTAATCTTTGCAAAATAACTTCACCTTATATTTTTGTACAATTGTACCGTTAGAAATTGGAAAAATACAGTTGAAAGTTCACTTGAGCCGGAAGGAATAATTAATGACTTCCTCCGTGGAGCAATGTGGGTTCATCAGCCGTTTATTTCATATTTTTTTTTGGACGTTTTAACAAGTGTCTTTTCCGGTGAAAATCACAAATATTTTTTCCGTCACCTCATTTGCATATCAATGCGGATGTTTAGGGGCATTTAATCCAATATTTTTTTGAAAGTTGTCGTTTTCTGATTCGGATGCGCTAATCCTTTGGTTGCTTCATTATTTCTTCAATTGTGCCATCAAAAAGCCACGGTAAACATTTTATTCAGTTCATAAATGAAACCGCATGCAAATCCCCATTTAGTGTGTGTTTTTTTTTTTTTTCAATTCTATCTTATAAGTCAATTGACCTATGAAGACGGCCTTCCGTTGACCAATAAAAATCGGGATCCCGTTTCTTACGTCTTAATATCATGTGAGATATCTTGTGCTTGAAGTAAAAGAAATTTGCACGTTTTCGAAGCTATAAACACAAAATATACTGCAAAACTGAGAAAACTGTTCTTGGTGAATCGGACAAGGTATAGAATGCTTCTAATAAATTATATTTCTCCAAATAGTTAAGACCGTGCAAGTCTTTAAACTTGCATTCCCAAGTATGCAGATCATAAATCTAGTAACAACAGGCTGGATAAAAATAAAATATACAAGCTAGAAAATACATATTTTTGTCAAGTCCTGTAAGTGGTTATATATTGGTATTAAATGGAAAAGGAGTTGATATTTTAACACTTGCACTCCTGAATTTTATCATTCGCTGGATTCCCTGGCCGAAATCTTATTTG